TGTCGAGCTCTAACCAACTGAGCTACAGAGAGACAGTTGTCGAGCTCTAACCAACTGAGCTACAGAGAGACAGTTGTCGAGCTTTAACCAACTGAGCTACAGAGAGACAGTTGTCGAGCTCTAACCAACTGAGTTACAGAGAGGCAGTTGGCAACTACAAATCCCTTCGTGATACCAGCGAGATGTCGTTAGCTAGTGCCGCAGTAAATTGCGTTAAATTAGATTTGTATATATTGCACCAACAACCATTTCTCGTCCTCTATGCAAGGGCGAAAATTTACTGAAATAACGGGGCTGGGGCCTATCCCACATTTTTGAACATTCGCACGTAATCAGAAACAGTACGCCTTTTTGCCGCCGGCTTTAGGGATTTTTGGGAAAACATAGGAATTTTAGAGATCCTTGTTAAGGAATTCTCAAATTTGGTTGTGCGTCGATCTTTGTGCGCGGATTTCTCTTCAGCGCACAGTGAAGGACAGCGCAGTTCAGAAGAAATTGCGCAAAGTAGATTCGCAAATATTCGACGGGAATATGGAATCGATGGCGTATTTCGTTCTACTGGTGTGTCTCGTGGCTGGAGGCTTCGCTGAAGATCCTGAAATCAACATGAATGTGGTATGTGAATATATGCGACCTTATTTTGAAATTATTTCAAGCAATCTATATCCCCGATAAATTATTGAACGCTGCATTGAACTGTCACGTTCTTTAATAAATACCGTTATTTATTTGCCTGGGAGAGCTTTAATTGATGCAGCGACAATCCCACAATCCCAGGAGAAAATTAAAGAGATTTTTAAAGAACCATGCAAGCAGTTGTATGTGCAGCGTATATGATTTATGACCGATTCAATAGACTTTCAAATAAACATACAACGGCAACAGCGGGAAACAAAGTCACTTCCATTTCTGTATTCGAACCAAAACATACATCATATACTAGGCTTTATTTGCCTCTTGAAAAAACTAATCTTTATTTTGGACAACCATCAAGCGTAGACAAACGATTTCCAACGTTTTGACAGTATATCAGCAATAGAAACACCAGGCGGAAATCGAATTCTAGTTAAAAATATAATTGCACAGCAAATAACTCGTAAAAGAGGCATATTCAAAAAAAAATTGGACTTTGGTACATAACGTATCGTCACATTACTGCGACATCATCAGACTAAATACAGTTAAGCTATTTCATCTATTTTATAACAAATTTTGAAAAAATATATGATATACAATTACAAGCGGTTAAAAGTTAAAATTAGAAATTTACAATGTTCATCGTATATTGACAAGTATACAAGATACTGAGATTAGGGATATCAAGTAGTTAGCGTCAGTGTTAAAAGATGTTAGTGAATTAACAAGAGGAAACACCTACTAAGAAGAGTGTTGCATTGACGGAAAAGATCTATTTATATTTAACAATTTCATTGAGAATTCTACAATGTTTTAAACACTGTTCTATATGTAGAAATAAGTAGAATACCGAAATTATGGACAATATCAAGCACGAACGAGACATATAAAGTCCCATGCAAGGTGCTTACCATTCTAAAACTATACAAA